CGGAACTGAAATATGGATTAAATTGTTCTCATTAAATCAGTTCCACATTTCTATACGGCATTAAGGACTCATATTGTGCCAGTCTTATTATAAATCCTAAAATCATCCTAAAGTGGAAGTACAAATCACTGTGAATAAGTTCCCTGAAGACGTGAGCCCCAAGAGCAAGATGGCCTTTGTGAAATGGCACAGGTGGCTCCTTGATTGCTGTGATGCGATAGCACCTGACAGAAGCCCAGACTCTCTGAGAACAACAGGAGCAAATCACAATCCACAGAGCTTATCTCTCTCATTTTTAAAATGTATCTAGAGACTGAAGCCTGAGGGGTTCATTTTCAAACCCTTCTACCTGTCTTTAACATTTAGATGATGCAGCATGAAAATTTCCTTTATTAAAGATAATAAAACCCACTGAGAAATACAGCACCAGAATTTGGTATCACTGTGTACCCCAAAGTACAAAGGGGATGTCTGAAATTGTCGACAGGATAGATACATCGAAAGGTCAGTGAAAGCACTTATATTGTTGATCAAATTGAAAAAATAGCAACAACTACTCACGAGGGACAATCGTGAAAAGTGTTTTATGTAAGTAGTGTCAATCTGGGTTATGTGGGTGATATACAAATTCTAAATACTGATCCTTCATTTCACAAATATATCTACATTTTGGGTAATCATTTTTGAATAAGTGTGTGTACTCTGGAGTAATCGTATACTGGGTTTCCACGTCATTTCTATCATTTTATAGTGTAAGCAAGTTATTTAACCTCTCTGGGCCTTGGTTACCTTGGCTACCACCTGTAAAAGGGGAATAATAATAGTATATAGGATCATTGTCAGGATTATTATATTACCACTTAGAACATGCTTGGCACACAATAAGTATCCAATTAATATCTATCTTTCTTTCACACACACACATACCCTCACACACACACACACTTTGATATTCAAAGAACCCACATTGATACATGTGAATAAATTGGTGTGTGTGTGAATACATGAATAAAGGTAACAGATAAATGGGCAAGCCTCAATGCCAGATAACAGGACCTGCCTACAGCTCTTCTAGCAGAACTAAAATACTCATACTTTTGTTACCTTATGAGACAGAAAAGTCCCAGGAAGAACAGAACACTTCTCTAATAGATATGGATGTGCACAGTCATCTCAGCAGGCACATCATCAGCTTTTAATAGCCATAACTGTAAATGAGTTCACCCGCTAAGTGGGAATGTGTGGAACTCTGAAATCTTCTTCTGCTGGTCTGAGCACGGCTTCAACATCTGAGGAGGAGGACCTGATGACTGCGAGATGGCACGTGATGAGGGGGTTAATGGTGTGCATCTCCCACACCTCCCCACGCACACTTCCATCTGTGCCATGTGAGTGAGGGTTTATATTACACCACTTCCTGTTCTCATTATGATCTTCGGTAAAATTTTCTCTTATTCCTGTACACCATCTGCGAAGGATTATTCTCCAGCATTGTCCTCATGACGCTCCCGCAGAATATTTATGTGCCCCTTTGGCAACCTTGGTAACCACAAACTAAAATGTTAAAGAAGATTAAGGCCCTAGAACAGGGGTGGGCAAACTTTTTGACTCAAGGGCCACAATGGGTTCTTAAACTGGACCGGAGGGCCGGAACAAAAGCATGGATGGAGTGTTTGTGTGAACTAATATAAATTCAAAGTAAACATCATTACATAAAAGGGTACGGTCTTTTTTTTTTAGTTTTATTCATTTCAAACGGGCCGGATCCTGCCCGCGGGCCGTAGTTTGCCCACGGCTGCCCTAGAATCATTAATAGAAAAGCCAGTCTATGTTTACGTTTTCATGTTCCTTACAATGATGATAGTAATGGAAAAGAAAATTGTACTAAAAGAGAACGGAGATGACCTATTATATCTGGATGACATGCAACACAAGTCATAAAAAAGGAATTGTTTACAACAAGCATCCATAAGATTTCTCTTCAAACCTATCGATTAAGAACACAAGCATTAGTACATAAAACCAGGAAAATCCTGCATATCCTAAGCATCATATCAATATTTGAATAATATTAAAACAAAATGCTGTCCAAAAAGGCCTTTCCATTCTATGCAGAAATACTAATATGAAATGTGTCCTTGCAATAATTTAACTCAAAGCTCTTTCCACTATTAGAATTTTCTTTCAAACATTTAACACATTTTACTCGGGGAAATTTTCACTTGAGGACCATCATTCCATCAGTTGCTGTCAAGGCTATGACACAAAGAAAAGGTTCTATAATGAGTCTACTGGAAAAGGCCATAATAATTCTGCTCTCCTCACCCTTGATAACACTATTTGCCTGCCATCTGGGGACACAGCTTTGGATTGCTTTTCTGGCAGCTCGGCGAGCCGCATTACTTCGCCCACGTTTTCTCAGCTCCTCCTCCCATGTATGGCACACACTTGCAAGAGAGACGCCACAGGTGAGTTTCCATTCTCAGTCTCAGAACTCGGTGTTGTCTTCTGGCCACTACTCTTTCAAACTCATCCTGGGCCACGCCCCATGTGTGCCCTGTATTCAATCCACACCAAACCACTTGCATACCACCAAGCACCAAGCTCAAACTCCCCATCTCTCTGCACGTGCTGTACCTCTCTCTACCTGGGATGCCCTTCCTTACCTCGCAAGACTGTCAACAAGCACATAATTGCTCTCTGAGTTCCAGCTCAATGAAGCACCCTGCTCCATCCAGGAGGCAGTCCTGAAGCCCCCGCTGGAGTTGGCGGAGGTGGTGATTTATTCCTCAGAGAGTCAGTCTACTGAGTGCTGCGGAGCTAACCACTGCTGAGCTCACCATGCTGCAGGGTTTACTCACATGACTGCACAGCGGTGTCCCTTGCTATACTGTGAGCTCCTTGAAAATGATACTCAGGTCTTATCTATCCCAATTTAGTCCACTTTCTGGCATAATTTAAAACTCAATAAATGTGAATGGATTAGCAATAGCCCTCATTTATTGAGAACCAACTATGCACAAAGATTTCACTTTTTAAAAATATATATTTTTTTATTGATTTCAGAGAGGAAGGGAGAGGGAGAGAGAGAGAGAAACATCAGTGATGAGAGAGAATCGTTGATCGGCTGCCTCCTACACACACTGCACTGGGGAATGAGCCTGCAACCCAGGCATATGCTCTTGACCTGAACCAAACCAGGGACCCTTCAGTTCGCAGGCCAATGCTCTATCCACTGAGCCAAACCGGCCAGGGCAAGATTTCATATTTTTATCTCACTCAACAAACCCATGAGGAAATGACAGATGACAAAAATCATATTTTTAGTCTCCATAGAAGACAACCTCCCCAGAGATGAACAGACAATTTAGAAATGAATGACTGAATGAACAAATAAAATCTTTCAACTAAACTGGAGTATTGGATGGAGCTAGTGATAAGTCACTACTCACTGTCTTTCTTTTTCCATGCCCTCCACTTCCAATCTGATTCAAGTTCTTTTTTTTTTTAAAAAAAAATCCTCACCCGAGGATATTTTTCCATTGATTTTTAGAGAGAGTGGAAGGGAGGGGAAGAAACAGAGAGAGGGAAACTTTGATGTGAGAGACACATTGATTGGTTGCCTCCTGCACGTGCCCCAAATGGAGCCGGGGATCGAGCCTGCAACTGAGGTACCTGCCCTAGACCGAAATCAAACCCTGAACCCTTCAGTCCATAGGCCAATGCTCTAATCACTGAGCCAAACCGGCTAAGGCTGGTTTAAAGTTATTGGTACCCTCCTCCTGAACTGTTGCAATAGTCTCCTGGTTTCCCTGCATCCAATCTTTGCCTCTTTAAACCATTCTACAAGATTACTTATTAAACTGCATGTAAATGCATTCCTAATAGTCCATATATTAACCATGAGGACTGTATCACTTTGTGACTTACTATGATAGTATTTTTTTAAGATTAGTATTAATATACTCTTGAATATCTGGAAAACCATCTTCCAGAGGACTGCCATGGAATTTCAGTGCCTGCCTTCGTGTTTTTGTTTATAATTGCATTTGTTTATAAGTTCATGTACTAGTATAATTGTCACAGACAAATGAGAAAAAGATGTATGTAAATAACACATACATGATGGTGTCAGGCCAAGAGATGCCCAAGTGACATCACCAAATACTACCTTAAGAAGAAAAGTCTGGCAGTATTCATAGCAAAGTGACGGGAGAATTGAGTCATCCATCAGTACATGAATTGGGCTTAAAAGAATTACTTCCCACTAGTCATTATCATACTTAGGTTGTAAACAATGATTTTGTTTTTCAGCACAACATTATCCAACATATTAAGCTAATGTTATTAATTTGTAGCTACAGTTTTGCTTGTAAATTGTAAATTTGCCTTGATTTAAAAGTAGAGCAAGTGTTATTAGCACAGGAATTTAAATTTTGTTTTTTTGTTTAGTTAAATTTAAGGAACAATATAATACAAATAATTTAGGTACCAAGAATTTTGCCCCCTTTGGAAAAGGCTTATATAATATACATGGTTGTGAACTACTGATTAAACCATTCCAGTCACTTCCAATAGTGACTTTTCCTTTTTATTTTTTAATTAAAAAAAATTTTTTTAGAGTGAGAGGAAGGGAAAGGGAGAAAAACATCAATCAGCTGCCTCTTGCAATTGGGGATCAAGCCTGCAATCCTGACCAGGGGACCAAGTTCAACCAACTGAGCCACACCGGACAGGGCTGGCCTTTCTTTTAAGTAGTTAATGTCTCTCCATTTCTTTTAACGGGCCCACAGTAGCTGCAAAATGAATATCTACTGCTGTAATGATGAAATGTACTGTCCTAAGCAAGGCTCTTTGTTTTTCTTTCTAGATGATGACATACATACTATATCCGCTCTTAACAAACCCTAAGAAAATAATGAAACATAGAGGCTCCCTGACCAATGGAAAGTTCAACTCCCCTTTTTTTATAGATCTCTAGCTTAAAACAAATTGCACTAAATCGAACAGGCAACCTCTCGGTGCAGGGGACGAAGTTCAACCAACTGAGCCACACCGGCCAGGGCTGGCCTTTCTTTTAAGTAGTTAATGTCTCTCCATACATCAAAACGGGCCCACAGTAGCTGCAAAATGAATATCTACTGCTTTAATGATGAAATGTACTGTCCTAAGCAAGGCTCTTTGTTTTTCTTTCTAGATGACATAATACATACTGTATCCGCTCTTAACAAACCCTAAGAAAGTAATGAAACATAGAGGCTCCCTTACCAACGGAAAGTTCAACCCTTTTTTTTATAGATCTCTAGCTTAAAACAAATTGCACTATGAGCAAGTCAAAGGTGCTACAGGAAATGTAGCAATTCATTTTCTCCCTTTTCTTTCCAAGGCAGGAACAGGTCAAACTCATGGGAAAGAGATATCTTATAAAATGCTGAAACTGCCTTTCTAAGGTAGTTGTTTACATGTCTGAATTTGAGAAGATAGCAGTTTTGCAAAACACTAGGAGCAGTCAGACCCCTAAGGTGGATATTTTTAATATTCTGAAGTAGTGATTTTCAGTTGGCATAATGACCTATTGAGGGAAAACCATAATAATTTTATTAAAATTCAACCGTTTAAAACAAATAGACCAGTGAACACGTGTACTGGGCAATGCCTCAGAAACCTATTAGCTGAAAGTACAATGGAGAGAAGTGAACAGAAATTGTCAGGCTTTATAGTATGACATTTCAAAATTACTACAATCTCCCTGATTGCCAGAAGTAACTGAACTTCCTTGAGCATACCCCATGGTCCTTTTCACATTACTTACTTCTAGATCATGTACCTGTCTCAACTTTCTATAAATCAGATTTTTAGCCCTAACAGGTTTGGCTCAGTGGATAGAGCATTGGCCTGCAGACTGAAAGGTCCCAGGTTCAATTCTGGTCAAGGGCATGTACCTTGGTTACGGGCACATCCCCAGTAGGAGGTGTACAGGAGGCAGCTGATCGATGTTTCTCTCTCATCGATGTTTCTATCTCTTTATCCCTCTCCCTTCCTCTCTGTAAAAAATCAATGAAATATATATATTTTTAAAATCAGATTTTAAATATTAGATATCTTCAAGAATCTAATTGATTGGTAATACTATTTACATTTTTCTTTCCAAAAAGATAACAGACTTGCTGTACTAGCCATAATGTAGCAACAGTCATCAGACTTACCCTCTACTATATAAACCTATAAAATTAGACAAAATAGAGAAAGCAACTACTTTAAGTCATTAGACAGCAGAGAGCATAGAGCTAAGATCCTTGAGAGAACCTCAGCTTTCTGCCTGGGTGCAGTTTAGTAACTGAGGCCCAGAGAAGTAGATGGAGCTCACAGACAAAGCAGCAGAAGAGCGAGAGGTGTGCAGAGGGCACAGAAGTAGAAAAGCATGAGGTGTGCAGAGGGCACAGAGGTAGAAGAGCGAGAGGTGTGCAGAGGGCACAGAGGTAGAAGAGTGAGAGGTGTGCAGAGGGCACAGAGGTAGAAGAGCAAGAGGTGTGCAGAGGGCACAGAGGTAGAAGAGTGAGAGATGTGCAGAGGAATAGCTCCAGGACTCCACATAGGGAATCCCAAGAACGCTGTGAATGTCCAAGTTTGGCCAGTTAATGAGCTGTGTAGTCAGTGAGTGAGACTCCATACATTGGCAGAGAGCAGCTCCTAGAGATTCTGCAGGTCACACAGTGCTGGGAGCCACTGGGTTATGAGCATCTAAAGTGGAGAGACCTCTCTGAACCCAAGAGCATTCAAGCCCAGAAAACCTATGCCTTAGGAGTGAAACCACTCTAGTTCTAGAGTAATGGCAATCTTAACAAGTCCTAAGGGCAAGCCTTCACAGAATAATGTCAACCCTCCAATAAAGTGACTGTCTATCAAAAAATAAATAAAAATAAACACACCTCAGCATTTTTTGAAGACAACAAAATCCATTAGAATGCAAAGGGCCTATAATAGCCAGATTCTAAAAAGGAAGGAATGGAGGGAGAGAAGGAAGGGAGATGGGAGGAAAGAAGTTGGAAGACTTACACTACCTGATGTCAAGATTTACTATAAGACTTATGGGACAATGTGGAATCAGAAAAGTTCAGAGTCTAGAAACAAAGGCATATTTATACATTCAATAGATGTTGACAAAAGTACCAAGGCAATTCAATGAGGAAAAGATCATGTTTTCAATAAATCATGCTGAAAAAAATTGAATGTCCATATTAAAATATATAATTTTAATGTCATCTCCTACAATAAAAATAAATTCAATATGCATCATAGACCTCAATGTGAAAACTATAAAAAGTAAAATCTATAAAACTTCTAGAAGAAAGCACAGAAGAATATCTTTGAGAAGGTAGAATAAGCAATGATTTATTAAACAGAGCACAGAAAGCATCAGCCAAAAAATAATACAAGATAAATTGGATTACATCAAAATTAAATACTTCTGTTCACCAAAACACTTCATTTAAAAAAAAAAATAGGCAAGTCTATGGGTTGCATAGTGTCCCCCCAAAATTCATGTCCACAAGAACTTCAAAATGTGACCTTATTTGGAATTAGCTAAAATTAAATCACACTGGATTAGGATAGATTAGGGTGGGCTCCAAATCCAATGGTTAATATCCTTATAAGAAGACCATGTGAACATACGAAGACACAAAAACACAGACGCACACAAAGGGGAAAAGGCCATACGAAGACAAAGGCAGATTTTGGAAAGTTGCAGTTACAAGCCAAGGAACCCCAAGGATTGCCATGATCTACCAGCAGTTGGGAGGAGAGCCTTGCCAATACCAGGATTTGGGACTTCTGGCCCTCAGAACTGTGAGAGAAGAAATGTCTCAGAGAATAAACGTTTTAGGCCCCAAAGTATGTGGCAATTTGTTACAGCAACCTTAGGAAACTAAAAGTTCCACTTATCAAAAGACTTCATTAATAAAATAAACTACAGATGAGAGACATTGTATGTCTGTGTGTGTGTGCATCTGATCAAGAATTTATAATAAGAATATGTAAAGGACTCCAAAAACCTCAATTTTTTAAAATCAATAAAATGTAAGTAAACAAACTGAACAGAAACTTCACAAAAAAAGATATATGAATGGCAAATAAGCATATGAAAAGATACTTAGTATTATTCATCCTCATGGAAATGCAAATTAAAGCCAGAGGAGATATTACTATCTACTCACTAGAGGCCCAGTGCATGACATTTTTGCACTGGGGGGTGGGGTGGAATGGGGGGCATCCCTCAGCCCAGCCTGAGCCCTCTCACAGTCCAGGACCCCTCAAGGGATGTCCGCCTGCCAGCTTAGGACTGCTCCCCATGCACTGACCACCAGAAGGCAGCTCCTGCGTTGAGAGTCTGCCCCCTGGTGGTCAGTATACATCATAGCGACCGGTCGTTCTGCTGTTTGGTTGATTTGCAGATTAGCCTTTTATTATATAGGATTAGGCTAGCTAAAAATCAATAACACCCAGACAACACCAAAGGTAAGAGGAAGCATGGAGCAGCTGAAACACTCAGACATTGCTGGTGGACACACAAATGATAAAAATGCTTAGGAAACAGTTTAATAGTGTCTTGTTAAGTTAAAAGTACACCTACTCTCTGAGCCAGCAATCCCCCTCCTACTTATTTACTATGAAAAATAGAAGCATATGTACAAAAATGACCTGTACAGAAATTTCCATAGCAGCTTTAATTATAGTAGCCAAAAATGGAAAACAACCCAAAGAATGGAAAAATAAGGTATGATACATTTATTTATACAATAAAGTATTACTCAGAAATAAAAAGGGGAAAATTTCAAATGTACAAACATGGATGAATTTTAAAACCATTATGCTGAACAAAGGAATCTAGACACAAGAAACTACATGTTGTCCCATTTATACGAAGCACTTAAAACAAGCCAAACCCAGTTATGGTTACAAAAATCAGAGTTTCCTCAAAGATGGGGGTGGCCAGGGGAAATAGCAGAGATCACCTGGAAAGAGGCACAATGAAGCTTGGAACTGTTTTTATATGAGAAATGCTGGAGTAGCTGGGGTGATGAGATTTGAGATACATAGGTATATGTATTTATCAAACTCATCATATTATACTTAGTATCTGTGTAGTGCACTATATACAAATTAGAACCTAAAAAATATTTTTGAAGATGAGCACAAATATGTCTCAATTTTAAAATTCAGTTCAAAATTGTAAATACATCATTAGTTTAGTAGCAAGTATTCACTTCATTTAATAGGAAGTATTCAAATTTCAATTTGCCTCTATTTCCAGGGGAAGTTTTTAAGCCAAAATGCACTTTTTCTTTGGCTGCCTTGGTTAGTCTCTACATCAAGGGTTTAATCCTGAAAGCTTTTAAAATTCAAGACTTTAGATTAGAAAATGACTTAAGCTCCATGCTAGGGCAGTACTTATCCTTGATGTATAAAATGTTAACATAGCATAAGTGGACTTGGGACATTTCCTCAAAGAGCACTAATAACCATATGGACTAATGATTGGGGTGGATCCCTTAAAGTCACCGACTTGGCCATATACATGGTTTAAGGCCATTTAAGAGACAACTTATAGGCCAAATGCCTGTAAATTGCTCTCATAGCATCTGTGGTTCAGTATATATTCAGAGATTATTGACCCCCAAAGACCACAACAGTTTCTTTGGAACCATCATAGTTAACGATGCATTTATCTTAAGGAAAAGTTCCAGTATTGCCAGGCAGCCTACGGTGTTGGCATCTACGTGGTGGACATTCTGTTTTTATGAAGATTCTCAATACCAGAGATGGGAATGGCTTCTTTAGTGCCACTGTGGTCTAATCATATCAACCTCTGTAAGAGAGTTCTCAGTTTATGGCTCACTGAGCAATATTGATCAGCACAACTCCTCTAGAACCATTATCATCTGTCATGTCAATATTGTTCCGGCTGCAATCTCTTGCATTTTAAGTTGCTACAACAGTTGAGTAGCCCAGTTTCCAGGTGAAAAAAATCCAATTTTTCTTCCACACTCTCTCCTTTCAGACAATATGCCAAAGCATTATGACATCGCATTGTAAGCAATGGAACCCATTTAAGATGATCAATGCAAAATAAATCCTGTAACATATTTTTTCTAGTTTTCTTCAGGCCAATAATGTTTAAGTTGTCCAAGTGATCTTTCATTTTCCATTTGACCCCTGTAGGTATGATACATACAAATGTCACTTAGGGGTTTTCAGTTATACCACTTTCCAGAATTAAAAACAATCCCGCTATCTGTCATGGCATTTTGACACTTCACAAACAATAATGTTCTGAAGCCAGTGTCAGCCACAGGCTTTTTGAAGGCAGATTTTTAATCTTAGAATATCTTGTGGGAGAAGAAGAAAAAGAAGCTGATTATCACCAGGCAAAGTGCTCCCCCATATGTACAATGCCGATGTTGGAACTCAGGCCATTATATAACATCCTATGCTTCTAATAGCTCCAAAGATGACAAGCCAGGAGAGAAAGAGAACAACAGTCATGGGTTAGAGCAGGGGTCCTCAAACTATGGCCCGCGGGCCACATGCAAATACAAATATTGTATTTGTTCCCATTTTGTTTTTTTTACTTCAAAATAAGATATGTGCAGTGTGCATAGAAATTTGTTCATAGTTTTTTTTAAACTATAGTCCCGCCCTCCAAAGGTCTGAGGGACAGTGAACTGGCCCCCTGTTTAGAAAGTTTGAGGACCCCTGGGTTAGGGACTCAGCTATATAGTCACCACTGTCGCCATTATTACCATTGGCAGGGCAGTAACTCACCCCAGGCCAAGATTGCTGGCATAGTAAGAATGCAAACAGGGTAAAGAATGGACAATGTGAATCTTCATTCTTATGAAGTCAGTGTATTAGATTATTATCTTAAGAAGTCAGTGTATTAGATTATTGTCTTATTTACATCTGTATTTTACTACTATGAACCCTATCTTCCAAACTAAGGTGCATATTCCTTGAATACTGTGATCATATATCCTATTGCTATTTACTGTTTAACTCCACTGAGACTAATACAGTAGATTTAACACAGTGGACTTACTTCTATTTTCCTATGTGTAACAGGGATAGTATTTTATAAATTAATTATGTGCCTTTTGAAATGCATTCCCCTTAGCTAGCCTAAGTACCTTCTGCCTGGGAGGAAGATAGTGGCTCAGTACAGGAGAAATGCAAAGAAAAAGCCTAAGTAATATTCAATGTCTTTAATTCAAAAATAAGATTTTGCAGAAGGACTATAGATTCCCAAGCCTGCTCCTATCTCCACAGAAGATTCTATACATTTCTCAAGTTGTCAACAGCCAAGCTTGCTGAATGTGGCTCATAGAGTTTCCTAGTGGTATACTAAATATTCCCCACCAATGACAGCAAGGGAGCAGAGGGGAGAAGATTTCTATTAATTAAAAAAACTAAAATTAATAAACACACTTTACAAGACTACAAAGGCTGGTGAAGAAAATTTGAAAAAGAGCAAAGAGGATTTTCCTCTTTGGGGACTTTGGCCTGGAGAGAGGGAGTTGCAACAAATAAGGAAGTGCATCAAAGAGAGCAGAGGGCTCTTGCCCATTGCACTTTGAACTCGGGAAAGTAATGGCTTTGGAGGCTGCACTGTATCAGCTTGGGTCATAGCTACATCAAAGTAAACTCAGAAGTGCAGTGGGGCAGGGAGGAGGGATGCCCTGACATTTGTTTTTCCCAAGGTCTGGTTAGGGACCCTGCCAGAGAGCATACCAGAGAAGCAGTGAGGTGGCCTTACAGAGAGCAATGCAGAGGGGAAGGCCACCCAGGCTAGAATCAAGGGAAAGTTAGAGCCAGACCTCAGGAGACTCCATAGTAGCAGCAGGACTAAGATTAGGCAGTCACCCGATGCCAGTGGGCTCTGACCGAGCTAACATAGAGCCAGTTTGCAAATGACAGCAACAAAGACTGGAGCCACAATTGCCAATAGAACAAGTAGCTACAGGTGGGCACAGGAGAGCAGCCCAGAGAGTAGCAGAGATGCACATAGAAAATGCACGCAAATAGAAAATGTGCGCGCGCACACACACACACACACACACACACACACACACACACACACACTTTACAGAGAGAGGAACCAAAGGATACTTCTCCTTTAGGTATAAAGTTGCCAAAGCTATATACCCTTCTCCTCATTTTAGAAAAAAGCTGAAGGGACAGACTATCTGAGAAACTGGGCTTTTTTTTAAATCAACAGACTGATTACTCCTTCTCACCAAAAAAAAAGTGCATGCTTTAAGCAGCGGTCACTAGACAGAAATAATTTAATAAGAATCCATTTCAACAACTCTTTAAGGCAGGGGTCACAACCTCCCACTGGCCCATCCGTCTCCAGTAAACTTGAGTTTGAATAGCTTTAAGTGAAGCCTGCACCTTTCATTTAGCCATTGATCTCACTCCTTCTTATCATCTCATACCTGGTTCAGTGAATTCACTTACATTACTTGCCTGACCCATGTAAGCAATGCCTTGTGTGACGGTTTGCTTTAAATTTTTCAAGAAGATTTAGATCTGTTTCTCAGCTGAATTTACATGTTAGAAAAAAAGGAACTCAAAAATTAAGAGGTTTTTAAAATTAAACGGATATAAGATTTCTTGGACAAGACACAAAATGCACAAATCACTTAAAAATTATAAATTGAACTTTATATTTAAAATTAAATATTTCTGTTCAACAAAGGTCTCCATTTAATAAATGAATAAATAATTTGAAATGACAGGGACTTGCAGCAAAGCTTTGGCAATACCATTAAGTGCAGCCTACTCCCACAGGAACTCTCTAGACTTTTGGCAACATGACAATAATGTGAACATCCATGAAGAGAAGAACCAGAGAGATCAGTAAGGATAAAGTGCAATTTAGGAGGAAAGTGGTGAATCCAGATGAAGGGACTAAGATGAAACAGACAAATATGATTCGGCTCTTGGGGTTATCAGGATATGGTAGTCTAATTATCTTACATATAGTATAATTAAAATATCTACATTGTATTACATATTATATAATTATAAATAAAATTAGGCTAGAATAGTATTCTTATTGCATTCATCAAGTACTTTCTCAACACTTCTTTTTTTTATTCAAAGAATCAACAAGAGATTCCTAAACACTATTGTTTATAGTAGAAATACCTGGACCCACCTGGTTCGCACAATGCTATCCTGGAAACAGTAAACGATATCCAATTGGGTCAGTCTTCCAAACTCATCCACTACCACCCACCACAATAAATCGAGAGGAGTGAGGAATTCACAGTCATAAATAAATATTAATGGTGCACTTCAGGAAGAATTTAGTAAGAGATTTGGTAAAGGCATTTCTTTATGTTTTCTTTCAGAATAAAAGTGAAACATGAACTAAAACTTCAGACAAGACCAAATTTGGATTCTTTGCCTTTGACTGCATGTCAATAACAAGATTTGTACATATAAAAACCACATAAGCAACCACTGCTAGTACCTGGTAATACTAAACAGAATAATATAGATGAAGTCAAGTATTATCTTTTTTCAATCTTTTTTAGTAGCCTGCTTATGGCTTTGCTGTCATTTTC